ATCATTTTTCCATGTATTCTTTGTGTCGTTAAGCCAAAATAAAATCTGTTTATTTCGGGACCAATTACAAGTTCTCGAGTCATTTATACACAGATTCCAACTTAAATCATCTTCATGAGGAGACCCACTGTTTTGGTATCCGTTCTTCTTCTTCCTCTTCATTTTCTACCTCTTGGCCTTTTGCTAGTCCTTTTCACAGTCACTTTCATGTGATTTTTTTGAACAAAAAAAACTACTCTTTGAACAGTAAATGTCATTAGCTTATTCGTCGATTAACTCATATATTTTTGCAGGATCTACATAACTAATGCGTGAGTGGGACATTAAACACGACTCGAGTTTACACGCGTTGGGGATGCTTTATTCGGGTAGCGTCTTAACTAAATCACCGTCTCTTATTGTGCATGCAAACATTTCTGTGAATATTCCGTTTTGTACTCCCAAACCCTGTAGGACGACGTGACTGTCCGAATAAATAGGAACTATACTAATCGACACACCAAGGTGAAGGTAGCTTTCGCCCCACAAACTCTCAAAAATGCAATTGCGGTAAGTGTTTTATTTAAGGTTAAGCAAAGCACTAACAAGTTGTCCTAGTTTCTACTTAGGTACATAGTCCCACCTTCCCAAAATGTGATGGTGCCATGTTGCGTGCAGTTGTGGATGGGTGACTAATTAGTGTACACAAGTAGACATCTAATTTGGAGGCTTTTTCGTGAGTGGCTTCATTCCCACCTCAAGTAGTCATTAATTACATTCCAGTTAATGAACGACAATTCATGATTAAGTCGTCGGAGAGACCTTGGCGGTTTACAGCACGGAGACTGTTTAGTTGCGTGCAAATAAACTACCAAATTCATACAGGGGTCTTAAAGGTTGATGGCTGCCTTTCAGAACTAGGCGCTGTCATTGAACTATTCCCAGTTTCATATTTTTATGCATTTAATAACCCATCTGGCTCAATTTCAGGAAGAAGGTGAACAAGTAGAGAAAAAAGTAGAGGAGGATCGTCGATACTTTACGCAGGCGGCCATTGTGCGTATCATGAAGTCGCGCAAGACATGCAAGCACACAATGCTCGTTAACGATGTTATCGACATGGCCAAAGGACGTTTTAAACCACCCGTTTCCCTAATCAAACGATGTATCGAGGTACTTATTGAAAAGGGTTATCTGGAACGCAATCCCGACGACGCCGACGAGTACAACTACCTGGCCTGACCATGTTTTCCTTTTTTCAAAACAACCCATGATATTGATGACAAAGTATTACAACGTTTGCAAATCGTAATACGTGTACGTTAGGTGAAACCGTTCATTCAAAAGTATACAGAGCCTAAATATCTTCCTAAGAATATCGCTGTTGGCGCATATTTTTTCACAATGCTATTCCACGAAAATGCCTTACAATTCTACAAAAAGACTAAATCAAGGATATGCAGTGGCAGGTGCAGGAATTTACTTCTTCCATGCTCGTGGGGTGTTTTTTACACACAGCTGAACTGGGACTGTTGATTGTTAAGTATAAGTAAGTAAATCAACAGCAACACGCGCAGAGACGTATTCAGTCCCACAGAACAACAATCACTTGCGTCACTTGAGTCGTGATAGAGTGTGACAAATACGCAGCGAACACTACTGGGGTGTGAACATAAATTATAGTCGTAACTGACATCGCATAATTCTCCCCGAACAGTTCTACTGAGGTCGTCCAGGACGCTGAATGCGCTCCAAAATGGTTTTTGTTAATGGCTTAGAAGCAGCAACTAGCATGGCTGTTTGCCATTCGTTCACACGGGCTTGTGCTACGTCCAGATTGAAGTGATCAAATGTTGGAGGTTGGATGATCGCACTGATGCGATTTTAATCACAAGCCTTGAGGACCAGAGTTATAAGTGGGGGATCAAAATAGAAGTGCACTAGATGACTATGTATGGAAGAACCTAGGGCCTAAATTGTAAAGTTGGCATTGTACCATATTGATTCGCTCCATTGAACGATTAGTAGTATGTCAAACGGCTGTTAATCCCCGTCCCTTTTCTGCCTTCCAAGTGGCCTTGATCACTAGAGGGTTTACCAGTTGGTGTGCATGGTGTAATGAGAGAATGAATGGTATGTCTTGTCCAGCTACCCACGAACTCCTTCGGAAACACCTGTATATTTAAATGGTGTTACGACAATGTAGCTGGAAGTAGAAGTTGTTAAAAGGTTTCATTATGGTCGAAAGAGGGTAGGGCGTTAGAAAATTGTGGCTAGCAAACAGCAAAAGCAAATCCTCGTGTAAAAAGTTAAACTGCGACGGAGAAAGGAACTAATGACATTAGAAAGGCAAAAGCAGTCGTGTAGAACAGCACTGGCATTGGATAAGACACTGCAGCAATGGTCTAACTCAACAAACAGATGCAGATATGAGTCACAACTCGGGAGCAGTTTGCTTATGAATGGGGCCCTAATCTCGACATGTAATTTGACTAGGTCGAGGAGCCCGGAGTGTTGCATTAACAGCATACACTGCAGCATTATTGGATCACGCCATGTGCCCAACCAAGTCTTAGCAGGTGTGTTTTAACGGTCAAAGAGAGAGATCAGCAGCCAACTCAAGACAGAGGGGAATGAGAAGCACCTATGTAATGTAAGGTGTAGGCAGAATAGAGGACGGGGATGAGCGGAAGATGGTGGATGACTTTGACCTGTGGTTCGTCAAAAAGGCTTGTCCAGTTGCGTTTGTGTCCATTTTACTAGATTTCGGGGATTCTACAGACTACGGTATCAACCGCGATGCAACCTAGCTGAAGTAGCTGCAAGACCTTCGAGACTTAGGAAGATTCACAGAAAAAGTACTGATAACGTTTAAGCTGGATTTGCTAGATTACTCGTTGGCTCAGGATATAATCTTGCAGGTGGCCAATAAGGTACTATCAGCAAGTTGGCAGACTATTCTTAAAGGGACTCGCACATTTACTACAACATTGCGTTGAGTAAAGATGCCGGCTTAGGTGTAGTGCGCTTCATAGTTAGCGGGGATAGTCACGACATACAACAATGTTAAATTGTCCTCCTGTCATTTAATGGGAGTGTTATTCGTCATTTCGGAAAGTCTATTTCTCCGTGGATCTCTGCGAGGATGGATTTCGAAGGTTGATGAAAACAGCACCATACTCTAGCGCACTAATTCGATGAAAAATTTTGTAAATAGGATAGATGAAGCAGCATTCGTGGCCATAGACTATGGCAGCTCTAGAATACGGGTGCTGGCCTAACGTACGAGCAGGTCTTGAATCTGTGAGGTGTGGGAGACGAGTATAAACAGAAGCCAATGTGACTGTATCTTTCATAAAACACATTAACTGAGCGCGTTAAATGAGAGAGTCAGAAGACCGATTTCGAATGACGATAACATGACACAGGGAAACGAAGCAGCTAAAGTAGACCTAGTGTTAGTGTGTGCATTAGAAATCAAGCAGGTCTACAAAAGCAAGGATGAAGAAAGAGGTGCCGGAGGGTCGAGGCGAAGAGCAGTGTGTGTGACACAAGCCTCATTGAACGATGGCGTCCATTCACTTTCATACTTGCGCAAACATGCTACCTTAAGCCAAACATCAATTCCTCTAAAGAAACCATTTGCTATTTATTGTTGCTGACGAATTGCTAAATGCCTTTAAGAACCAGTGTTGGTTTAAAGTATGCGTGGGTACCGAGGGCATTGTTTTTAAAGTCGATTTACCAGAGGTTCCTTTAGTAATATGTAAACGGCCATTAATCACTGCCCTACCATATTTTTATCCGGCCAATCGAATCTTCTGCGGATAGATTTAGCGTGTTTGATTAATCTATGTTTATGCTTTTAGGTGATTAAGTGCTCAAATTTTGGATTACAAAATATAAATTCTCTATTACGGCTGGCAAAAGGTATGTATTCGTAAAGTTCGTGTGTCAGAGAAATGTCTGAATTCACGTTTTCTTTGGTAGACGTACAAGGAAGTTTCACGAATCGCAAAAGGGTATCAACTGACACCATATTAGTGGGGAATGAAATCTTCCACAAACTGTGCGTCATTCTCAACACACCATACCAAAACAGACCAGATAGGTATGTATAGATGAAATTATAATACACTTCGATGTAGAGTGACAAATTAATCATATGCAGAAGGGGACACTTCTCACCTACAAACTAGCAGCTGAATCAGTTGATGCTAAGCCTATTTTTCAGTCTTAGCGAAACGAATTCTGCTTCTATGTACAACCTGCTTTGTTGATTCGTAAATAACTCTGACTGATAGCAAACCGTGCTAGAGATACCTCACGCGTTTGGTGAAGATGCAAGTGGGATTGGGGTGGAGAGATTATGGGGGGAATGTTCCCACCGTAGGCTAGGCGATTTACCGCAGTATCTGGTCTCGAACACTTTACTTTTCTTCGACGTCTTCAAATGACGGAATTAACAGCATATTCTGTAATCCAACAACACGCGTCCAAGATTTCCTGCAAAAAGCCCACCTTATGGAATGCTGTCTATTTGGTCGAAAAGAACGATAGAACAGGCCTAACACGACGACAACTGCTACTTTCTGAAGCGATGCTTGTTGCAGTTAGGATGACCGCTTTGTTACGCCTAGTGATGTTGGTGCTGTGACTGTTGTAATGTTTTTCCAAGTTTATTCGCACAAATGCGGCTGCAGGCATTTATCAAATGTGGGTTCGCAGCAACTGTTCTGTAGTACAGAAGAGCCCTCACACCGATTCAACGAGACTCCATACAACCGTTTTAGACCACATTCTGTCAGTATGTGCACGTTGTTACTCTGACAAGTGGCTGTACATCCAACAAGCACGAAACCCTACTATTTGGCTACCTCGAGGTGTCATTTCGTTAAAACGCGCGCACCCAAGTGATGATGGTGAGACGCTGAAGCGTCTTAATTAGATCGAAGTAAGGATTCGAATGGAACTGTGTGATTTGCATGAACGGCTATTGTGACGATATCGAAGACCACTAAGACAATTAGGGGAATTTTAAGAGGATGCTTGCAATACCAGTGGTAGGTGATTTGATCTTATCACCAGGCTACTAAACGCCTGCCGATTTTGTGGGACGATGAGGCGCAACTCACCTTTATCGTCACTCACTCCAGATCACGTGCCACGCGTGTAGAAATTTTCATGCGTTGGATTCGGGTTCGTATTTGGACGCTTCCAGTGGGTATGCAGCATGACAAGGCTTCCCCTTAGGACTGTACAGAGAGGTGATAGAACCGACTTCAGTGGAGCATGAAGTACACTGCTACGTATGTCATCACACCAGGAGTTAGCACCGTATTTCTTGATCCGCCGTATCAATGTAAGATGTTTCATGTTCAAAAGCTTCCTTTAATTAAAGTCGCTGAGAGCAACAACGCGCAAATATGATAAACACAGCCACGTACTCATTGTACAGTGACTGGCGCACAGCAGGGAACGGAGTACCTGCATCGCGCAAACACTTGAAAGTGGATTTGGAGTAACGTGTGGGTTCATACTGATGTACCTTCGCATGTGTACGTGAACAAAGCAGAGAAGGCGATGGAAGAAGTGTACCGCAAGTGAAAGCACGACTCGAAGCAAGTTTTGAGACAGAAGGGATCACCGCTTATT